GGTTGAAGCCACTGCTTCTACTTCTAGCCCTTCTTGCATCTACTTTGGATCTGGGGAAAAATATTTGACGGAGGGTGAGTCGTCGCTGAGTAAATTCTAACCCTAAATAAACAATCCACAAGCGGTATCTAGCATGACACCCTTTAATTACATGTCATTTACTGCTCACTCTTGATGCCTATCCTTCCATTTATAACAATCTGGTATCCAATTATAAATTCAATAATCAATGGAAGAACTCTCTCTTTAACTATTCAGTAGCAGTCGCTTCACTATCCACTTATCGCGTTGCTAAGGCACCTTATATCACTATTTGGTATATATAATAGGATATCGCTACTAAACACCTCTAATGACGGGAAATCACATGTTGGTGCTAGGGAACCATTTACTCATTCACATATAATCATCAAAATCCACATCACATGAACCATAACACAATGCCAATGCTAAGCATCATCCGCTCACTCATTTTCAGTCATACCCCAGCATATTATTCACTTTCCCATGATCAATCATGCACACATGCACAACGTATTAACCTTGCTAAGGCATTTCATACATGTATCCATGCATAATCCATTAATCAATCACTTTCAAACTAGTACACATATCGATACACACAATGGGTTAGCCAGATTAAGTGTCTTTTTGCTTTTATTTTCCAATGCACTCCCCGGGGTATATCCAGTAGAAGCATAAAGCACCGCCCAATAGATGCCTTAGGCACCGCCAATAGATGCATAAAGCACCGCCTAATAGATTCATTAAGCATCGCCAATAACCAGGCCTGGTATCACTCCCCCAGATAGCTAGGCATATAGCCATCATATCCAATCACATAGACTGCATGACAAGGCGCCATTATGTTTGATTTAGGTGATCACACACTTCTTTAGTTAGTCACATCACAAGTATCAAACAATACCATCAATCATTTAACACATATTTATTCACGTAATCACAACATTCACATAGTAACATTCACCATATCATATAACCACATCATCGTCTTATAGGCTTCCTAGTATCATCACATATTTGCCTTACAGGCTTCCCAATGTCACAGTATTGCCAATTAGGCTTTTCCAGTATTATCATATAGCCATTCATGTTATACATTATCCCCTCATTGCCTCATAGGCTTTCTAGTACAGTAACATCACCTATTAGGCCATTTCATATCACATACAAATTGCATTTCTCATTCACAATCATCATTTATCACATCTCATACCCATTATCACATATTCATACACAAATCACATTTACTCATTATTCATCACATATAATTCATTATATCACTACCCTTACGCCCATAGGCGTCATTACTCTATCACATTATTGTCTTTAAGCCCTTAGGCTTTACCATTTTACCACATCAATATCATATTTAACATAACCACATAATCAATCACTTTGATCATTCTAGTGGTCGCTCACATTCATCATAAAATCATGGTAAACCATAAACAAGATCCATGGTAACCTTCTCCATTTCCATTCCGGAATGGATAACGGTGGTAACATTCCTGCTGGAGCTTGATACTCGGCTTTCACTTTCTAGCACATCAAACAAGTCACCACATGTTCGGCCACATCTTTCTTCATTCAACGCCATTGTTAGTGAAACCTTAATGAAGAATATATCTTTGTCGCTCCTGGATGCATCACTTAAGAGGAGGAATGATCTTCCTCGTGATTTTCTCTATGCAATTCACCCAAATTCAGAACACACAATCTCCCATTCAGTGTCAGAAACCCATTTTAATATGGGAACTTACTCTCTTTGCTTTGTTTGATCTCATCATTTAACCTTTTCAGATCCGGATCTTGTTCTTGGTCCTTCACTATTCGTTCTTGGTCCTCAAAGCTAGCATATTAGCCAATGGTGCGACAATGAGAGAAAACCCTTCGATAAACCTTCTGTAGTATGTGGCCAAGCCCCGAAACTGCCCAATTCGGGTACATTTTTTTCAGTGGCTCCCATTTCACTACAACTCCTTTTTTTCTCCAGTTCTTTCAACTCTGCCGGTGACATTCTACACGGTACACAAATCGAAACGATGCCCAATGACCATTTAAGAATGAATTGAATCTCTCGATCTGGAGGTGACCTTCGTAGTTCCGAAGGAAACACATTCAGGAATTTATTTGGTACCTCCGCATCTTTTGATTTCTTTTCGGGTTTACACTCAGCCACATAAATCAAGTAAACCCCATAACCCTTATTTGTCAAAGTCACCACGTTTGCAACTGATATTAGACAACTAGGCAAGCAGTGCCTAGTTCCTTTGAAAATCACCATTTTGGCCTCTCAAACGTTTCAAAACCCAATTATTTGCATCACATTTTCTCATTACCTTATGACGACTTAACTAGTCCATCCCTAGTATTACATAAATTCATTTAACAATTATCCCATAAAGTCAGCTGACAACATTACCCAGCTATGCTTATCAGGGAACTAGAGTAGACTTGATTAATCACTACAATATCTCTCACTAAAGTTTTCACTATCACAGTTCTTTCCAACATTTTGGGTCGGGATGGTAGTTGCTGGGAGTTACATATAATACAATGAGTGCATAACACCAAAATTAGTAAATAGACATACTGCAACCCAAACTGTCATACTAATAATTCTCACAGTAATTATCCTCAAGCCGTGAAAGAAAAGTTCATAATCTCTCATGGCTCATTATGCCCTCTATTTTATGGTCAGGAACTCCGCTCTCTTATATTCTGTGCACACTATCAATATAAGATGTTTGTGGAACAAGACCCAAAAAGTCTTGCCACTAATTTTGAATCATCTTATCCCTCACTCCCATTACAGTTATCTATCAATCATAAGCAGCAGAGTTGAGCAGATATGCCGCATAATCACACTTGATCTCATCAGAACATTTGAGAAGGTCAAAGTTTCTTTCAATCTTTCCACCCAGTCCAAAGCATCATTGGTTTCTACGTTTCCTTACGAAACTCTACCTCCCATCATCTAGCTCGCTTTGGTATATCCCTCCACATAGAACTCATCGATATATTCTCGATACCTAAGGGATCCCTCCTGATGGAGACACTCAATGTCCCCGGGATTCTGATGACCCCTTGAGGTGGTAGGGAGGCAGCTACTCCTTGAATGAAATCCACATGTAAAACAATGGCCACTCAGTAAATCCACTTTGAAATCTAGTTAAAATCTCAGTTTAAAACTCAATTGGTACCCGCGGGATCTTATCCCAACTCTGATACCACAAAATGTAACACCCTAATTGAACACTCGCTTTTACATAAAAATATATAAAACTTATAAAATGTTTTCGAGCAATTTCAAAACTTTACAAATCAAAGTACAAAAATGGTAAACAGTTTGACAGTAGATTCCATGTAGAAACATGTTCGGTCTTCCGCCCACCATATAAATCAAAACTTGAAGGTTCAAGCCACTGCTTCTACTTCTAGCACTTCTTGCAACTGCTTTGGATATGGGGAAAAATATTTGATGACGGGTGAGTTGTTGCTGAGTGATGCTTTGGATATGGGGGAAAATATTTGATGACGGGTGAGTTGTTGCTGAGTGAGTAAATTATAAACCTAAATAAACAACAATACATAAGCGGTATCTAGCATGGCACCCTTTAATTACACGTCATTTACTTCTCACTCTTTATGCCCATCATTCAAAATATAACAATCTGGTATCCAATTATAAATTCAATAATCAATTGAAGAACTCTCTCTTTAACTATTCAGTAGCAGTCACTTCACTATCCACTTAACGCGTTGCTAAGGCATCTGATATCACTATTTGGTATCTATAATAGGATATCACTACTAAACACCTCTAATGACGGGAAATCACATGCTAGTGCTAGGGCACCATTTACTCATTCACATATAACCATCAATATCCACATCACATGAACCATAACACAATGCTAAACATCATCCGCTCACTCATTTTCAGTCATACCAGTAGACAATTCTGCATATTATTCACATTCCCATGATCAATCATGCACACATACACCAACCCTTATATGTCGGTTTGAATAAATCTCAACCCAAACCCACCCGAAATAATTAAGACCCTATCGGTTTTAGTGTACATTGGGTCGGTTTGGTTGGTTCATCACCCGACAAAAATCCGACCCGCAATAACTGATCTGAAAGAGAGGAGAGATGTGGCAAATTTTGGCAAAGCAGTGGCTGGAGGTGGATCGTATCTCAAGTTAGAGGCGATATTCGAACTTGGAAGGAGAAGAAACTCGGAACCAACGATAGAGAGGTTGTGAGGAAGCATCCAGTCTTAGAAGATGAATCATAGATCAACTCCAGAGAAGAATCAAGGGTCGTCGTAGCGGTGGAAGCGTGTTGCTGTTTCCCTGATTCAAGTCGTCGTCGCGGTTGGCTTCCACCGATGAGAGAAACAAGAATCAAATTGAGACGATTGTTCCCTAAGTTTGACTAGGAAGGAGAAGAAATCCGGAGAGAGAGGCCCACGTCAGGGAGGCGGCGCGAAAGAATCGATGGTCGTCATGGGATGATTGAAGCGGCTGATTTCTTTAGATCTAAAATGGCAGGGATCTCCTTCTCCTAACTAGAGCTTCGAAAGGGTTCTAATGGAAGGCAAAGAGGTGTTTGTGTTTAATGGGGATGGAAGGCATAACTGATGGGGGAGGGCGGCGGATGAAAGGTGAAACCCTAGAGATAGGCAAATTGTGTATATGTGTTATCCTTTTAGGGGTTGTGTGTGTGGGTTGGTTCGGGTTTGCTCGGGTTTTAAAAACCCAACCCGCATCCAACCCGTTACTCAGTATATTCTTTATTTTAAAACCTTCATCCGCCCGTATAAAATATCTTAGGTCGGGTTCTTTAAATGGGTCGGGTTGGATGGTCGGGTGGGTCGGGTTTCGGGCCCAATTGTTCACCCCTAGATGATATGTTGAAGAACTCGAAGATCGGAATTAAACCTTTCCTCCTGCTGCTAGTCGTCGTAAACCCCGAATCCCCAAGAAGCCTCTAATAAACGGGCTAAGAAAGAAAGAGCTGCTGCTGCTTTCTGCCTTCCTGTGTTTGGGAGCCGAATCAAAATCGAAGTAAGGGAAGCGACGGGGAAAGCCACAATGGGCAAAGCAGAGAACGAGCGACTCAATCAAGCTCTAACTACGTACCTCAACACCATCCATGAAACCTTACAGGTTCCTTTTCCCTCCTTTCTTTCCTCGAATCAGATTTCATGTCAATTATGTGATTATAGGCTGGGTAGGTTTCGTTCTGATTCCTGAAAATTTGATTGCGTTTGGAAGGTGTTGGATCAAACACCAGGTTCTTCTTTGGACAAAGTTGCCTGGAATGAGGTTGTGAAAATGGGCGACAAAGTCTACTGGCAAGCTACCGTTGGTAGGTACTCCCATGCATTTTCCCGCAAACAAAGGGGCTCATATTTTCTGTTGGGGGCTCTCTGTTCATTCTTTCTTTCTTTCTTTTCGGCTTTCCATTGGCAGTCTTATGCACTAAGTCATGCTATGTATTCCGTAGCAGTGATTATGGGTAGCATCAGCAGAGATGTCTGCTGTTAGTTTTATAATTAAGATAATGGTTTACTGTCACTGACAGATCCACTGTGATGTCAACTAAGAGCAATCACCCCGTTGCTTTTTGGGTTTCTTCAGGATGATATCACCCATTGTTCTGATAATCAAATGCTGTAACTGATAGTGTTTCCATGACAATGGTTTCAGTTGGGATGCTTTGGACAGGGGAAAAGCCTGAAGCTAAAGCAGTCCAGGAGAACATGGCGACTTACTTCAATACCTTACAAGGGTTCCTTCTACTGTCTCATGGAAGCAGAGTCGGGGCAGGGCCTACTCTTTCTTCCAGCATATATGCATCAGTAAAGCAAGTTGTTGATTCCAGTTTTAGGTTGATGATGGAAACCGTTACTTCTTATGGTAAAGTCTCCATCCCTCCCTCGTGTCTCTAGATAACATCAGGGGGTGCAGTTGCCACAGCTAGCATGGGAGTGGACAGCCTACTTTTAGTTGAATGAGTCGAAATCTTTGTGAACTCTCGTGGAATAGAATGCAATCCTTATTGGTTCCACCCTTTCGTCCAAGGGCATATGTGGTATCTGTTCAAGCTCAATGTTCATTGAATATAACGGATCCTAAGAAGTGTAAGGTTTAAACAGGGGTCTTAAGGACTTTATTATGGTGTTCTTGAATTGATAGGATTATGTCTGAAAGAAGAAATAGGCTCCTATTTACATGTTCTTTGGTTTCTTTTATATTGGAAAGTAAGATAGGCAATGGAAACTGAGGCAGTTTTATGATAGATGTAATTTGATTGGAAATACTTAGGGATAATTTTCTTAAAAAGCATCAAAATTGATTTTAGCTCGAGGATGTATCAAATTTAGCCAAGAATAAGTTTTTGCAGAAAAGCAATATGATAACTTTTGAATAAGATTAAGGCTCATTCATTATTGACTATATCAAATTGATTGCTTCCCCGAACTTGCTTATTTGGTTTTTGTCTGTTTGGTCAGTGTTCTTACTAAGTAATCAATAAATTCATCTCTGCTACTTTCTCTTACAATGAAAGCGAAAAAATTCCAGGATCTTGGACCAAAGACCTGAAGCTCTTAGTTCCACAGCTGGTTGGTGCTGTATGGGAAGCCTGTTCTGCATTGAAGAAGACACCTTCAACTAATATCACAGCTATTGGACGGGCTTTGACACAAGTTGCTGTGTCAATGAAGGATGTTCTTCGTGAGATGAAAGAACTGAAGCCCGAGTCAGGCAATCTCACTGTCACTGAAGATGCTGAAGCAGAAGGCGGGACCCAAGAAGAGGAAGATGATGGTAGCTTAAGTGATGGCGGCAATCTAGGGAATGACTTGTCACCTGAAGAGATGAAAATTGCTGAATCTGCAACAGGAGTCGTGTCCAATGCACTTGTTTTCATAAAGGAACTAGTCCGGACCATCACTGGCTTGATCAAACTGGAAAAGCCTGATGATAGTGGCAACTTTGTGGATGCTTTGGAGAAGCTGTTGACGCTTTGTCAGGGGATGGGAGAGCAGATTGATGAATTGGGAGCCTGTCTTTACCCTCCCCAGGAGCTTCCTGTAATGAAAACCGCTTTGGATAAGATATCGAAGCAGGTTGATGAAGGTCGGAAGGAAGTGGAAACTTTGAACTGCTCTGCTGAGGCATTCTTCCAGAGCTGTAATAGTTTGAAGAGTTCGATTAGATTAATGGAGACAGAACTTGATTCCTCGATGACTGCTGATATAGAAGCCAAAATGCAGAGTATCAGTGTAGACAATTAAAGGGGTAGGGTATGGGGTTTCGTCAGTAGGATCATTTGCTTACTTACGGTAGTACTGTAGGACTGTTACCAGAGTATGTTCATGTTCATTTCTACTGCGTGCTACTTTGTCCAGATTACTGTTCTTTTATTTGGATGTTTTTTCCTTTGTGTTAGTACATTACGGATTTTGTGAGCCAGTTGAAAAAGAAAAACAAGTGAGCAAGAAGGAACTATAATCCATGTGACAACATCGCCTCAAAACAGGTGAAAATGAGAATGTGACTTCAAAACATGTCTAATTGGTCATTTAGCTTTCTCAGATCTCAAGAATTGTCAACTATTGAACATGGTTTAGGTTTGCTGGTGCAGCTTTTGGGTGATTGTGGCAGGAGGTTTGTTATTTTTATTGTCATCTCCCTTTGTGCTAACTAAGGTTAGGATTCTGCCAGAGTGCCAATGGGTGACAAAATTTCTATCTTTTATGAAGCATATTGGATATAAAGTCGAAAAAGTTATGGTTCACGGATCAATGGTTGATCAATATAGATGTAGATACACCACTTATTCGTTTATAAAATACTACATGCATATAAGGATGGTCTATTCGTACACCAAGCCAAAGATAGTGTATGTCATGCACCAAACCATTTTCACAATATGCGTTCATCTCAACGTACAGTATAATTGTGGGTTCTGTTTTTTGTGTGATTATAAAATAAATTACCCCATTAATGCTGACTGTTGAGATAGACAAGTTCGATAGAGATTCCCTGGTGTACAATATACACAAGGTTTTGCATGGTGTACGATCGAAGCCACCATGCATATAAATTATATTACATAATACCAATAATCTTGAACCTGGATTGAAAAACTTGTAAAACTCGAAAAGAATGCACGACACAGTCGATTTACGTGGTATCCTCATTCGGTGTGAACGAGACTAATCCATGGAGAAGGAAGCCCTTCTCAGTTTTCTCTTATTCCCTACTTATGTAATTGTTCACGTTACAAGAGAGTAACAATATATATATATATATATATATATATATATATATATATATATATATATATATAATTGTAATGCATCGATACTCCTAGGGTTATACGTAGGAAGCATAAGAGCAAAAAGACAAAACGGTCCCTACTTATAGAATACGATTCATTTACCCTCGCCTCGCGCAAGCGGAGCATGCAGATCACAAATACCATGCTTGGAGAGTAGATAATGGAATCGATGACCGCCAAGTCCTTTTGTGAAAATATCAGCAACCTGATCACGCGAAGACACTTTGGTGGGGAGGATGGTGCAAGTTGTAACATGATCTCGAACAAAGTAATGGTCAAACTCAACGTGCTTCCTCCTTCCATGAAAAACTCGATTAGCTGCAATGTGTTGAGCATCCTGATTGTCACAATGATAGACTGTTGGACCATACTAGAAAACACCCAACTCACGAAGAAGAGCACGAAGCCAGATACCCTCGCTAACGACACTAGCCATGGCCTGATATTCCGCTTCAGCTGAGGACCGGGAAATAAAAGCCTACTACTTAATTCGCAATGAAGTCGGAGCATCTCCAAAAATAACAAAGTATCTGAAGGTTAAACAACAAGTAAGCTGACACCCTGTCCAATCAGAGTCACATTAGGCAGTCAACCGCGAGCTTCTAGTAGACGGCAAGAGAATCCCTGTCCCGATGCATTTTTCAAGTAATAAAGTACCCGTTCTGCGACAGTGACAGACGCAGAGGAAGGAGAGTGTACGAACCTGCTGAGAATGCTAACATAATAACTATGTCGGGGCAAGTAATAGTAAGATACTGTAAACAACCAACTAACAGATGATAGGCCAACCGGTCAACCTTACGGGAAGAAGTAGAAGCATCATCATCGTTTGCAGGAGGTCTGGTGAGCTGGTGATCTTGTTCGACATGCGTGAAACTAGGACCCCCCCCCCTAGGTTCAACATCATACAGTAAGTCAAGAGTATACTTGCGTTGACTTAAGAATATACCTTTCTTGGAGCGAGCAATTACAAATCCCAAAAAAAATACTTCAAGGGACCCAGATTCTTGATGTTGAACTGGTCGTCGCATTTGGTTTTGACGTGCTGGATGAAGTCTGCATCATCCTTTGCAAGAACCACGTCATCTACAAAGATCAACGTAGTGACAAAATTGGAGACAGTCTTGCTCATGAACATTGATTAGTCAGCACGAGATCGAGTGAAACCCTTGCTGAGAAGAGTACAGGTAAACTTAACATACCAGTTGCGAGATGTCTGTTTCAAACCATAAAACGACTTATGCAGTCGACAAACTCGAGGGTCCCCTGGAGCTGCAAAACCTTGAGGAATCTTCATGTAGACTTCATTTTCGAGATCACCATGCAAAAAGGTATTGTTCACGCCGAGTTGATGAACAACCCAACCGTGAACAGGTGCAACTACAAGCAAAGCGCGGACACTCACCAACTTCACAATAGGCGCATACGTGTCGTGGTAGTCGATACCTTCAATTTCGGTAAACCCTTTGGCGACAAGACGAGTCTTATAGCGCTCCACAGTCCCATCCCGATGTTATTTAATTTTATACACCCACTTGGGTGTGATCGCCTTATTCCCTGATGCTAAAGGGACAAGAGAACAGGTATGATTCGCCTCCAAGGCATCCATTTCGTGTTTCATGGCCGCGTGCTACTCGACTCTCTAAAACACAACACCAAACTATGACCAAGTGTAATCGCAGTATGGAAATACAGTATAGTGGGTTCAGTTTTACTTGTCAACTCGGGTCCTAGATTTAGCGTCTACTCCATGTAATTCTGTTATCTACCGGTAAAAGTCGAGTGAGAATGAATTTAAACTAAGCAGAAAGAAAGCAGCAAGTTGTTTGGTGATTCGGGTTTAATTGTATACTTTTTACCTCTGTTTTCCTTAGATGTTTGTGGCACTCTTAGTTCGTGAGCAATGCAGTTAAAAGCGCGATTCTACCTAGAAGCGGAAAAGGGATAAAATCTTAAAGAGTAGAATTAAAACGTAAAAGCGCAAATTTTTTACGCATACTGTAAAATCACTAAAAATCTGTTAAGTACGACATATACTATGTAAAATATGAGTGCACATAATTTAGATAAATTAATAAATACCTACAATTCATGTCTAAGGTAGAGCCACTCCTAGCATCTTAACAATAAGTTCATAAACAAAGATCTTAACAGTAAGCCATCTTCCCCTCTATGCTAATAAATTTGGGAAGGGCCTAGTTGGTGAATTAGATTACTATATTGAAACTGAGAATGCATCAGAGTACCTGGTATGTATCTTTTAATATGAAATGTATCATATTGTTGGTGATTTACCTTTAAGATATACTTTTATACTTAATTACATGAAAAAAATACACATTTAGTGAACTAAAAGCGTCAAGCATTTTGGTGAACTAGAAGCATAAAAGCGCAAGCTTATTTTGTTTTAAAATGCAATTTAGTTCGATTTTATGGACTAAAGATTTTATATGGAAACGAAAGCATTTTGGTGACATAGAAGCGTAAAATCGTAAGCTTTTAAGTTTTAAAGCGCGATTTTGACTGCATTGTTGAGGTTCGGTTTTACGCTAGTTTGTGGTTGTTTTTAGTACGTTTCAGATCCTAAAAGGTGAAATCAGCCCATGGAAGGAAATTTTGACGAAAAGGGGCGAGAACCGGTCTAAAGGGAGCAAACAACAGCAGATTACGGTTAGCCAGACCGTGAAGCGCATGGAGTCCAGAAGGTTTTTCGCGCCTCACGGTCACACGACCGTGAAAACCCACTCTAAACCGTGAAGCGTCTAAGTGAAACGGTGCGGTTTTGCGCGACATCACGATCCAAGCCCAATGTTCACGGTCGTGAACTTGGACCGTGAAATATCATCGATCTGGGTATATAAGGAGGGCTAAGCTGAAAGAGAAAGGGGAGGAACCTAGTGAGAAAAGCTTCTTCTTCATACTTCTAGACAGAGAAAGTGACGAACCAAATAAGAGGAGAAGCTAGGGTTGGGAATTTCATCCAAGAGCAAAGTTTTGAGAATTTCTTCCTCAAAGGTTGATCTCCACACCGCAATGAAGAGGCAAACATCCTCAAGATGGTTTTCTCTCTTCTCCTTAGTGTATTCCCTCTACTTAGCATGGAGTAGTCCTTTCTTTCACTTGGGTGTTTATGAACCCTAGCTACAATTATATGAATGTTTGTATGGATTGAATGACTTGTGTGTGGCTGTGTTTTAATACAAGTTATGAGGTATTTTCATGAAGGTTGTGTTGTGTTTTGCATTTCCAACTCATATGCCATTTTGACCTAGGTAGAGGGAAATCCCCTTCTTGCTAAGAGGCTTGCAAAAGTTAGAATTCCTTGGCCAAATTGTGTCACCTAATTAGGTTGAATTATGGCAAACCTCTTAATTAATACTTATTAGCACCTTGGGTAGGTTGTATTTTGGCCGTGCAGACTACGATTCGAGGGGGAAGCCCAAGTAACCCTTAGTCGAATGTCCAAGAGAGATACCTTAGCAGCTTGATTCTAAATCCCTTGGCCTAGTGACCGAGAGAGTGACACTTGCTCACTTGTTGCACTTCCCTACGGTTTACAATCGCCTCTACCATACATTTGCATTTGATCCAACAAATCATTATTACTAGCTAGGGGGAGCAACACCCAGGTGAAGCCTTATCAATTAGGATTCAAACCATTTACTTTTCCAATCGCTTTAGCTTTAAACCATAGTTTTAACCAAAAACCATTTGCTAGATAATGTTTCAAACAATCGAAGTAGGGGTACATAGACCGACCTGAGTTTGACTTTTAAAACATACTTGTTGTATATTGCACCCAGTTAAGGTTTATACTTGGGCCTTAATCGGGATTTTTATTGTGATATTAGGGACGAGTCATTCAGTTTTCTAAAGAAAGAGAAGAGTCACTCAGGAATGAGCCCCCCATCTCTTTAATTCGGTCCAAGTTGTAATTCCTTTTGGTTGCCTTACTGTTGATTATATTACAGAAGATCCGAAAATAGCTTGGAATCTCTTAAACTGACCAAGCCCTCTTAGACACAATACCCGACAGGCGATTAGCCTTCACTGGAGTAGAATGATAAGGAAATTCACACTGATCTCCACTAGTTGGAACGAATCCAGTACAAAGCAGTTAATTGAATAACTCTCATATGATCAATTCACTCA